CCAGTTCCAGTCTGACTTGATTGATGTGAGCATTCGCATCAGCGCCCACATGCACCATAATTGCGTTTGCTTGTCCCATTTGTTCATCGAATTCCGAACGTAGTCGTGAATATTTGAATTCCAAATGAGATGCAGCTTCATTCGACATAGTCTGATACCTTTCCAACTCTTCGATCCTGTAGGTCGCACCTTCGTCTTCTTGTTGTGCAGCCTGTAACTCGAAGTTCAGCATCTGGAGTTGTTCGGTCATCGACATCATCTCTTGATGAGTGGTGCTTTCCAGGAAATTAAATTGTTGATAGGCATATGCTGTCGTCTCGCTCAATCTTGCCTGAAGTACGGATTCTTCTTCAGTGGCCCTTTCCAGTGATGTCTTGTATTCAGCTAATTCACTCTGATAGGCAGTGAAGATGTCGCTACCACTTGACGGGGCATTCACTTGCTGGTAAGATCCTGTCCCTGATGGAGTAGCGTCCTGAATCGGTGAAGGCGGATTCGACGACGTAGTCTTTGCCTTGGTCCTTGGAGTCATCGGAGGCGACAATTGTCGTGCAGATGATCTTCTCTTTCCAGGTGTGCTGTCCCTATCTTCAATTGCTTGCATTGTCGAAATTTGTCTCCCTCTAGGAGCAACCAGAGGTCGCCTGGGTAGGCTTGTTCTCAATTCTGAGGCATCGCTTCCACCAGTGTCGATACTCTGTGAAGAATTTGACTGCGTGCCGGCAGCTGGTGCAACGGCATGTCCAGAAAAAGAAAATGCGTTATCGCTGCTATCCTGTTCAGTCATCTGTAAGGCCCGCGGCTCCCCGCTCGTAGGCTCCGTAGGAGTCCTACGGCTGATAACCTGAGAATCGGAGATTATCCCCCCGATTATGTTCTGGTACTTGATTCTGAAATGGGTGTTTCAGTGGTGACGTCACACGGGTAGCGGCTTCGGCATTGCGATTCTTTGTTCCGGTTCCTGCAGTAGTCTTGAGCCAAAGGGGCGAGTTGACGTACCCTTTGGCTGTGGATCCTTGAGGGCTGAATTATGTTGGAGTGTACAGTGTTCCGTAGCCTACACTCTATTCGCAGTATGTATGGTATGCTTGGAATGTATTGTATGTTTGGTATGTATGGCAGGTATGGTATGTTTGGCATGTATGGTTGGTATTGTATGGATGGTAGGTGTGGTATGTAAGTATGTTGGGTATGGTATGTTTGATATGACGGTATGTATGGATCCTCGATGGAATATAGGGTGAGCAGCTGTGTACCAGTTTTGTAGGTATGAAATATGGGGTCACGGGTCCCCTAGCTACAAAAAGGTATGCCCAACCCAAAAAGCAGCTCTACAAAATGATGCTGCAGGTACCCCACACATACCCAGGTGGAGCCTACAAAAAGCCACTCGCATTTTTGTTATGGATGTTGAAAACGGATGCAAAAGCGACTAAGATAAGCCCAAGTCTTTTTGTAGTCTCACCCAGTTTGTTTTCGAATCATCTTTGCTCAAAGCCCAGTATGGTATCTAATATGCGTGTCAATTAGTGTGACATCGTGTCATCTAGAGTCAATTAGTGGTGTCAATTCGTATCGATTAGCTTTATTTAGTGGCAAGTAGTGCAATTGAGTGTCAATTAGTGACATTTAGTGTCCAATTAGTGTCAATGAATGTTATTTAGTGTTCATTAGGGTCAATTAGGATCACTATGGATCATTTAATTGTGTGTAATAAAAAACAAAAAGCAACCAAAACACAACAAATGAAGAGTTCCCACAAAACGTTGCCAAGAGCTGCAATTTGTGTTTTTTACTAGGGTAGGTGCGTTATTTTAGGGAACTAAGCTACGCATATTTGTATAACTCCAAAGACACGGTGTATATATATATATACACAACTCCAAGGACAGAGTCCTGGACTATATATATATATATATACATACATATGTAACTCCAAGGACAAAGTCCTGGTCTATATATATATATATATGATTCTATATGAATATACATAACTCCAAGGACAAAGTCCTGGACTATATACGCATAAGTAACTCCAAGGACAAGGTCCTGGTCTATATATATATATACATACATACATACATAACTCCAAGGACAAAGTCCTGGACTATATATATATATATACATATGTACCTCCAAGGACAAAGTCCTGGTATATATATATATATAACTCCAAGGACAAAGTCCTGGACTACATATGTTTCCTATTTTTTTAAAAAAAAACGTCCCTGTTCAGGACACTGCCTGTTCGGCAGACTAGTTACTGTTTCGTCATGGTCCTGGCTATAGTATTTATTTTCAAGGACCACATCCTAGTATACATCTGTAGCAATTTACATATATATATATGTGTTTTTTAATACTTATATATATTTATATATATCTGTAGTATTAACTACTTATATATCTGGGTTTTATTTCGTGTCGAGCACCTAAAGTACCAAAGTCTGCCCATCCAATTACTGCGCGCTACAAAATGATGAGGCCGCCTCACTTCACTACAAAATGCATGCTGTGATCAACTATTGCATGAAGTTCCAACGACCCTCACGTAAGCATGGTATCTAATATGCGTGTCAATTAGTGTGACATCGTGTCATCTAGAGTCAATTAGTGGTGTCAATTCGTATCGATTAGCTTTCTTTAGTGGCAAGTAGTGCAATTGAGTGTCAATTAGTGACATTTAGTGTCCAATTAGTGTCAATGAATGTTATTTAGTGTTCATTAGGGTCAATTAGGATCACTATGGATCATTTAATTGTGTGTAATAATAAACAAAAAGCAACCAAAAAACAACAAATGAAGAGTTCCCACAAAACGTTGCCAAGAGCTGCAATTTGTTTTTTTTACTAGGGTAGGTGCGTTATTTTAGGGAACTAAGCTGCGCATATTTGTATAACTCCAAAGACACGGTGTATATATATATATACACACAACTCCAAGGACAGAGTCCTGGACTATATATATATATATAACTCCAAGGACAAAGTCCTGGACTACATACGTTTCCTATTTAAAAAAAAAAACGTCCCTGTTCAGGACACTGCCTGTTCGGCAGACTAGTTACTGTTTCGTCATGGTCCTGGCTATAGTATTTATTTTCAAGGACCACATCCTAGTATACATCTGTAGCAATTTACATATATATATATGTTTTTTAATACTTATATATTTACATATATATGTAGTATTAACTACTTATATATCTGGGTTTTATTTCGTGTCGAGCACCTAAAGTACCAAAGTCTGCCCATCCAATTACTGCGCGCTACAAAATGATGAGGCCGCCTCACTTCACTACAAAATGCATGCTGTGATCAACTATTGCATGAAGTTCCAACGACCCTCATGTAAGCATGGTATCTAATATGCGTGTCAATTAGTGTGACATCGTGTCATCTAGAGTCAATTAGTGGTGTCAATTCGTATCGATTAGCTTTATTTAGTGGCAAGTAGTGCAATTGAGTGTCAATTAGTGACATTTAGTGTCCAATTAGTGTCAATGAATGTTATTTAGTGTTCATTAGGGTCAATTAGGATCACTATGGATCATTTAATTGTGTGTAATAATAAACAAAAAGCAACCAAAACACAACAAATGAAGAGTTCCCACAAAACGTTGCCAAGAGCTGCAATTTGTGTTTTTTACTAGGGTAGGTGCGTTATTTTAGGGAACTAAGCTACGCATATTTGTATAACTCCAAAGACACGGTGTATATATATATACACAACTCCAAGGACAGAGTCCTGGACTATATATTTATATATATATAACTCCAAGGACAAAGTCCTGGACTACATATGTTTCCTATTTTAAAAAAAAAACGTCCCTGTTCAGGACACTGCCTGTTCGGCAGACTAGTTACTGTTTCGTCATGGTCCTGGCTATAGTATTTATTTTCAACCCCATTTTTTCATCTTATTTTAAGCCTGGCAAGGCCTTGAAACGGGGCACAAGGCCTCCCATTCTGTAGTGGAAATTCGAACGGGGATACTGAGGCTACAAAATGCATTCCCTGATTCTCTTGGGCTGCGTTGTACATTGCATGATTCAGCCACAAAGAGACTACAAAATGCAGTCAGCAATTTATAAGCTGATGTAATATCACATAATCTTCCATTTTCGATTCCACGTTTTGGAGGCCTACAAAAAGCCTATTGTATTTGCCAAACAGGGGGCCTACAAAATGCCTAGGGTAACTTTACTACAAAAAGGGGGCCCAAGACTAATTTCAGCTACAAAAACCTATCCCCAGACCATTTTATACCGTACACGTGTTCTCCCTTTTTGTAGTGGAAATACCATCGGGGATATGTATGGTGTGTATGGTCGATCTGGTATGACATGTTTGAAATGTATGGTATGTTTGGTATGTATGGTAGGTATGTTATGTATGGTAGGTATGTTATGTATGGCATGAATGGTTTGTATTGTATGGATGGTAGGTATGGTATGTAAATCTTGCGGGTATGGTATGTTTGATATGACAGTATACATGGTCTGTATGGTATGTATGGTTACTACGATGGGTATGGAATGTTTGCTATGCAAGGTAGGTATGGTATGTATGGTATGTATGGCATGTACCTGGGGACCCATACGATTTGGGGGTAGGAACACGGAACACGAGACCATATATACCCATTATAGTCGGCTAAAACCATATGTATGGTTCTTAAATACTTTACCCTCTGGCGTATAATCAAACATGACAATGGAAAATCCATTGCAATGGAAATCCACTAATTACAGATGATGTCCCAGCTATAAACCTCCATTTTTGATGGCATCTCCCAGCCAGCCATGGAGCTGATGACACCTGAGTAAGTTAAATTGTCATGGAAATCATGTTACCCTCTGGTGAACTAACATTGCCATGGAAAATCACTATCTTTAATAGGTAAAACAGCTATTTTCATGACCATGTTCAATAGCAAACTGTTGGGGTCCATGGAGGGTAAGTCCCCAGTGAAATCTAGGCCATTCCCAGATGCCAAGGTACACTGCAAGTAACTCACGTCGCTAAAGGCGCTGGCCACCACTGCCAGCCGTGCCTTCCGGTGCAGCAGCGCGTGCTGCAGCAATCCACGACCAACCTTTGCGGAACCTGATGCTTCGGTGGCATGTAACGAGCCAAGATTCAGTCTGAGCTATGAAAATGATTAGAAAAGTACTCGCCTGTCCCTTCATTTTTGTTAATCTCAAAAAAAACAGATGGTTATCTTAAATCTCGGAGATATCAATGGCCATAAATCATTCTAACCATTTTTCATCCACATGGCCAACAGAGGTATCAATGGCTCAATGGGTGCCCTCACTGTGCCCCCGCCTGAACGATTCCTCTCCAGAAAGCCGATGGCATTGGCCGGCATGGCACTGTCCGTCTTGGCGGCTCCCCGGGGTCCTTCCGCTCCATATGGGTCAGCAGCTCCATGGGATCAACTTCCCCTGAAAAGCTATGGAAAATCACCATTTTTCATAGGTAAATCAACGAACTAACTGGCCATTTTTCATAGCTATGTTAAATTACCGGAGAGGGTAAACCATGGATCTGATTTACAATGTCAGGAAAGTCCTGTTTAACAATGCCTGAACGCAGTAGACAAAAACCATGCGCCTTTCAGCAATCCTTCGTTCATTGGCTTGACCTTCAACCTCCAAAGTCTCCAGCTCTGAACATCGCCATGTTTCTAAATGACCATCGTGTTTCCAGGATTTACCTATGAAATCTTATGAAATCTTATGAACATGGTCATTTTATGTCATTTTCCATGTACCATAGATTCCTCCAAAAAAAAATTGGCTCATGAACTTGGAAACATCCCACGGCGCCAGCGTCCTTTCCCCTCGCGGGCACCACTTTCTCCCAGGTCCCTGCTGGCGATGGAGTTGGCCAAGATCTGCAGATGGCTCTGCAGGGGCAGCTCGGTGAAGTAGCCCGCCACGATGTCCAGCACCTAAAAACATCGGTGCTGGACCACGAGAGGAAACACCGAGGCAAAAATCACCCGCACAAGGGGGTGTTTTCCATGAGAAAATGCTGGGAAAATATTGAAAACCAAGCAATATGAAATAAGAATATCATGGTTCGAAGGAGAAAAGATGGGAAACGTATTGGGGAAAATTCTGAGATACAATGGGAAGAGATGGAAAACCAAACAATATTTGGTTCTACAATGTTATTAATACCATGTTTTATTCAGAAGTCATATTGTTTAATAAAAATGAAAACCAACATGAATTAGAATTTAGAAATACCCATTTGGGTAGGTATATGTGTGGATGAAAATATGGAGAAATATTATGAAATATTGCTAGTTCAATGGGAGCATTGCATCGTAGTTGTATAGGATACCCTCTGGTAATGAAACCATCCAAAAATTGGCGTATAACCAATTCATGGGGGGAATAACATAGAATAACATGGGAAGATCATTTCAATGAGAAAATAAAGGAAATTATCAGGCAAAACACGGAATACAATGCAAAATGATGGTATTGATATTTCCGGTTTTATTGGGATATAACGTCATATACAGTACCCTATGATAAACTCACCGACATAGCTATGGTATAGATCACCTTCAGCTATAATATGTGTATATATATATGTATAAATATTATTCAATGGTATACATAGATGATTTACCTAATCTAATAATGGTGGGTGGTTTTTTCCATAGCTATGATAGTCTGCCAGAGCATAGATGCATGTTTTCAAAAAAAAAAACTGTGCCACCGTTTTTTCGAACAACTGAGGGACACCAAAAAAAAACACAACACAACAAAAATAACTGGCTGGTTTGAACCCCTCTGAAAAATATGAGTCAGTTGGGGTTATTATTCCCAATATATGGAAAAATAAAATTCATGTTCCAAAATGTTCCAAACCACCAACCAGATCATGTTGGTTGAACAAAACTGAGGACTTCCCCCCAAAAATCATCAAAGCTTGTCGCGCACCTGTCACCTGTCGTCCTGTTGTCCAAGGCACCGTATCAGCGGGACATTGCTGCAGGTCGCTTTCATAGAGAAACATGACCCAATCGTTGTTACGCGCGAGCTCGTGTAGCCTTGGATTGGGCCAACTGATGAAACACCGCTGGAAAATCCCAGGTACCCGGCCTGGTAATGACTAACATAGCTATTGAAAATGGCCATTTAGAGTGAGTTTTCCCATGAAAAATTGTGATTTTCCATAGTTCTGCTAATTTACCGGAGGGTAAATGTATGTAAATGTGCATTTGGATGGGAAAACCCATCGAACTCAATGGGGTATGTTCCAGCCATGGAGCTGATTACTGGGGGGTAAGACGATCAAAATCTTCCAGAATTTCTTGATGTCAGAAGGGACCAATCGTCTAAGGGAAATCTAAAACATCACCTTAAAATAGCAAAATCTTGGATGCCCTGCAAAAAGCTTGGCCAAGTTCTTTCCTTTTTTTGCTACCAGCTTACTAGCTATAATATTCCCCCATATATATCATACCCAAAAAAAAACACATTATATAATAACCCCTCCACCAGTCGGCTTATCCCCTAGGAAATTCATTGCTTACTATGCCTATTACCCCAACCATCCAGTTTCCCCGAAGATCTTCATATGTTTTCTTGCTCATTTGGTATCCCCAGTTGCTTTCGTCGGAAAATATCCTTTTTTGTAAGACCCAGCAACATATAGGGGTTTGCCTGAAGAAAGATTGGGAAAAAGAATTCATTCATTATCAGTTTCTCTGTTGAAATGGTCATAAAACAGGGATAAACCATGATAAATCACCCCATTTTCAGACACCCACATATCTCTGATTCACTGATTGAAGCCTTTGGCTAGTTAAATGAATATCCCATGCTGAAATCCCTAATTGCCACCACAACCCCTACCTTTATATCCAGATGTGTAGAAACCATGTTATGGTTAAACCCTATTCCATTTTGGTATCTCCATGTTTCATGGTCTTCCCACCCAGTTCCGTTCATCGGAAAATCTCTCAGGAACCAACAGATCATAGGAATTGAGGCAACCTCAAAGGTGACCACCTTGTCAAAAAAAACGCTATAGTCAATCTATAATCTATGAAATCAATATGAAATCCCTAGATATTCCTGGTTGTTATCTCCATTTCTATCTCCCGGTGTTTTCTCCCCGAAAATCAGCACCAGGTCGACCAGGTCGCAAGGTCAAGGACCTGGGCAGCGAGTGCACCCGGCAGAACAAGGCCACCAGGTGCCAGGGCAGGTCGTATCCCAGCGCTTGGATGGACGCCGCGGGGGCCGAGGGGTGGGGATCTAAGGCCCAGGTGCTTTCTTCCAACATCCTGCGGGGGGAAAAGCCATGGGAAAATGCGCCACGTCTGGGGGAAAATCATGGGAAAGGAAGGTTGATACCCTCTGGTAATGACTAACATAGCTATTGAAAATGACCATTTATAGTGGATTTTCCCATGAAAAATGGTGATGTTCCATAGCTATGTTAGTTTACCAGAGGGTACTCCAAAAGCCTTGGAAGAATTCAATCAGGACCTTGGACAAGAAACAGTGAGCCAATAACTCCAAAGTATCCCAGTGGGAGCCAAATGAACGGAAGCCATGGGCCAAAAACTTTGAACAAGTTAGAGAAAACACCAAACTAACCCTGAAAACATTGGCACTTCAGCTATCTTGCAGCTATCCAAGAAACTTCAGGTCAACCACCTTTTAGTTGGCTACTTTTCCACCATCTGGGGCAGTAATTAATTCCCACATGTCCGGGCCAACCCGGGATCATATTGTTGGTTGTATCTCCTATGTTATATCCCAATATTCCAAACGCAAAAAGCGTTTATCCATGTCTTAGAATGCTTAAATAACTTAAATATCAATATTACCAGCTTCCCATTCCTGTGCCCTCTTGGAAGTCTAAGTGGATATATATATATATATAACTATATAACCATACTTTTAGGGACCCCATATCCCAACAAACATGGGGCTTTAAATTCCCATGCATACCCTCCGGCAATCAAACGTGGCACCTCAAAATCATCCATTTATAGATGATGTCCCCGTTAAAACTTCCATTTATAGGGGATTTCCCAGCCACTTCAACTGCCATTCCCTCTCCTCAGTGCATTCAGCAGGTGCGGTGATGTGATGGCCGCCTCAGCTGCCGCAGAGGCATCCTCAGCCTCCTCGGTGTCCGGAAAGGACTGGAAGAGTTGGATGACGCTGGCGGCGGAACGGCTGCCGCTCTCGCTATTCTGCACCGCGTGGGAGTAGATCCTGGCGAGCACGAGGAGCAGAAGCCGAGCTCGTTGCGAGCTCTTCGAAGAGCTGCGAAACAAGGGCATTCTCATGGGGGATGATATGGGATGATGCAATGTGGATGTATAATGATGTATATATGGGTGATATGGGGATCTGTTTGTTCAACTCTTTCTAGTTGTGTTTTGGGCGTAGATGGAGAAGGAAAAACCGCCAACCTCATCCCATCTCCGGTGTCACCAGCTCAGTATTGGAAATTCCCATGGAAAATGGAAGTTTTAATATGGTTGTAATGGGAAAATCATGAGAAAATCCACCATAAATGGAGGTTTGTAGCTGGGAAGAACATCTCACTACTATATCTGGTGGATTTTCCAGCTATGTTTGATGAAACTAGAGGCTATCTCATGAGAATCAGAGTGTTCCTTTCTGATCCCTCGGTTTCAGACACACCCATATCATCCCTAATATCCATGGTTCATTGAGGGATCAGACGTGTCCCCGTGTCCCAGATGAATGGATTTCAATGGATTTCCCTTCATCCAATTCTCATTTTGTCCAAAAATGGCTGGCTTTGATCACTAAAAATAAACGTTGCGACCATTTCCTATTGAAGTAAACTGGTTCGAAGATGAGTAAATCCCCATTTTGGCTGATCTTTAGATATCTAAAGATTCTAAGATCTTCTGAACTTCTAAATGCTTCTAAAAGTAATCCCCAAGACCATAGAACAGGTTCAATTGGTTCAATTTCTATACTGCTGTCTTACTCGGTTCTCTTAATGGAGGTTTCTACATATACCAAATCCATTCATCTGGATCAATTGTAATAAATTCACCAACCTGAAAAAGTTCGCCCTTTTGGGATAGCATAAACCCCAATCCTGACCATCATGAAAAATCTCGTGACTTTGCGACCTGAGGTGCATGCAATGCTGGTTGTATTGCTACCACATTGAAAAAACGCCTCAAGATTACCATGTTTTCCAAACCCACATTCTGACTCCATTCATCTGGACAAATTAATGTTTATTGCCTATGTCTATTTTTATGTATGCATGTATGTGGCATAATATATATATATATATATGTATTGATGTTGCTATTAAACATTGTGATTTCGCATAGTAAACTGTTAAATTACCAGAGGGTACCTTAAGCCACTTCCCACATATATATATACACATATATATATATACATAATATATATATACATAATATATATATATGTATATATATATATATCTGTATGTGTATATATATATAGATATCATATCTATATATGCATATGCATATCTGTATATATATATACATATTGCTAAAACAAATATCCGATATTCATCATCAGCATATCATAATTTAAGATCCCAATTTCGAACCATGTTGGGCCCCACAGGGGTTTTGTGGCCATGCCCAAATCCATCTGTGCAATATATATCATCCCAGTTCTGATGATAGTTGGCTATATATAATATACATTGATATACCCTCTGGTAGACTAACATAACTATGGAAAATCACCATTTAATGGGAAAATCCACTATAAATGGCCATTTTCAATAGCTATGTTAAATTACCAGAGGGTACCGCAAACAAATCATATCCCCATGTTCAAAGCCCACTGAAAAATCCCCATGTTTCATGGCTAACCCACGCTTAAGCCACTACTTCACCACGCATCTCCCCACCTCTTGGCTGCTTCCACATCCACCCGCAGCTTTTCCGTCTCGAGGCCGCACAGTTCCAAGAGACACACCGCACTGGAGACCACACCTCCATGTTGGAACACGGCAAGAACCCATGCTTAAAGCCACCACAAAAAAAACGTGTTGTTATTCACCAAAGTTTTGGGGTAGAAATTCATCGTTGAATTAGATTACATATATATTATACAGTCCTTATTGCATTGGTAAATATGTTTTTGATTGTAGTGAAGCTACACAAGTATAGGTTCAACGTGGTGGTTTAACTTTGTTCATTGATTGAACCCTTTGGTTGATGATTAAATCATTGTAACACAATACATCCTAATTTTGGCTGATTATTCACGTTCAAACCCAATCCATTCCTGGAACCCCAGTTCCAACCAGAAATAGCCATGGTGGTTTCCGCAGTTCCAAGCATTTCTTATATAGGGATTTTGAGCCCTACCATACAAAGGTGGTGCCTCCCAGTTGTAAGTTGCTTTAGTTGGACAATCCCATATACAGTAGTTCTCGCGATCTCCCCAACACAGTTGCCATAGTCCAAGGGCGAGTTCTGTTCACCGTCACTTAGATATCATAAATCAGCTATAGATCCAACATATCATCGCATATTTCAGCTAAAAATCAGCTATAGATCCCATATTTCTGCCTTCGTTGAGCAAGTTGTGCAGAGCCACGGACTTCGCCGCCTTGCGCAGGCGCCGAGCGTCCTGGCAGCAACCAAAATGGTACAAAAATGCTGGATTAACCAAGAAAAATGGTGACAAAAAACCATCCAATTTTAGGGTGATCGAATCATCAAAATGTGGATTCAACCCGCAAAAAAGGTTTGTTGTAATCGTAAACTGTTTGAATTAACCAGCAGAGATTATGGTTTCACATGTTTCAACCATCAAGAAGGGTGCCAGAAGCAGCTTTGTTTTCCGCGGCCGCCATCTTTGGACAGTCTTGAGAGAGTGTTTGGCCACCTGATGTCCCACCTGTTTCACTGCATTTTGGGACATCTTCAGAAGCCAGCACAAAATAGCCTATCTTAGGGGAAAAAAATCCGGATGGGAACAGCCTAGAGACAACCAGGAACAGCCTATCCTTAGGAATCCACATATACATATATATATATGTATTCGATTATATTCTATTATATGATATATATTATTTATAATGTATATATTATATATAATGTTACATATATATATATATTACACTATGTATGTATATATATATATGTACGTATATATTATGTTATATCATATCATATTATATTATATTATAGTTATATTATATATATTATATCATACTATACTATACTATACTATATTATATTATATTATATTATATTATATTAATATTATGTTATATTATATCATATTATATTATAATATAATATATATATATATATATATATATGATATATGTTATATTATATTTATACTATAGCCATAGCTATTATTATATATTCTGCTTCGCATCTCCAGCGTGTCTTCCTTTACAAAAAGCTGTGTGCACCTCTGGTTCGAGAGCCAGGGGAAAGCGCAGTTCTTCTCCAGGCCTCGCAGGGCTCAAGTTACCTATGAGATGACCATATCACTGGGGAATCACCCAGCACCAGCGAGCTATGACTTAGGGTACCTTTTAAAAAAGGGTCCCAGGCTTTTGACTCATAACTCATAGCTATTTTTTATATACCAAAACCAATATGTGGAAAATAAGTATCTTTTAATAGATATTGTCGTATTGGGTATCCCCAATACCCAATCGATCTCGAAGACACCAAGCGCCATGCTTCAGGCTCTGCTTGCACTTGGTCATCAGGACGTGATACGCCATCATGGCCTTAGCTCCACGTGGCTGTATGGGAATGGATCAATGGCGCCTGGCACCTTGGTGAAAACCAAAAATGGCTGGTGAGTTTATCCATGTTCATACCCCCAAAATATGGTACAATAGGTTTTGATTCGTACCCACATTTTTTTTCTTAATATGGTTTATGTGTTTTATATTTTTATGTTTTGTTCTTCATAGATTCTTAGTCATAAATGTTACAAGGGAGCATGGAAATTTCAATTCGATAGGATCACTGTTGACTTGTTCTATCATTGAAATTAGTAGGGCATCCTTTTTGAACTCTCCCGGGACCCTTAAAGGGACCCTGAAAGTTGTGGCTTATCATGTCAAGTGGGATGGAACATCAACAAAACTCTGCGCGCCACCAACCAGCAACGGGGTTTCACTTGAAGCTTTCGGCGGTCACCCATCACCCGGAAGATGTTTTGGATCAAACTTGGAGTTGCGAAGCAGCACAGTACGAGTATTGTTTCAGAAATTTAGCCATAATTCGGTGAGTCTGAAACTGGGGTAAATCCCTGAATATCCATTGAGTAGGGAAAAGGATCATCCACCGGAATTGGAGGTCGCCTATTTTCAGACACAATTTTGGGTCGACAAATGATGCAACGACCTGGGGCCAAAACCCGGCCCTGGGAGAGAAAGTAGCCTGGCGCGGATGAAATAGCAGGGGTTTGTCTAAGGACGCTGGATCCAAGATTGCCATTCTAAGGTTTCTAATGGGGTTTTTTGATGATCAATCCTGGCATGAAACAGGTCTCCTATTTCAAACAAAGTACCTGTATCTTTGCCAAAGTCGATGCAATCGGAATGGAGATCCGTTTGATTCTGGTCGATTCCACAGGATAAACATGTCATTGGGAAGCCCCCGATTCCACAGGATGCGGTGAAAATTCCAGCAACATCATTGGCTCATTGATATTCGCTCACCCAATCATCGCCCTCTGTATGATCTGCCGTTCCACAGGATGGGCAGACTCTCTTCCAACTCGTCGATGGGTTTTTTCTCGTCCGGACCCTCGGAGGAGAATCTAGCGGCAGTTTGAAGTACTTGGAGGTGGCGCTGGGGTGAAAAAAAGGGGTATACCCTCTGGTAATTTAACATAGCTATTGAAAATCGCCATTTATAGTGAGTTTGTCCATTAAAAATGGTGATTTTCCATAGTTATGTTAGAGGGTAACAATGGGATCGTAACCCCCATAAATCCATATAAATCCCCATAATGCTGCCATCGGAATGTGTCTGACCATGTTTGACCCCCGGGACGCTTCCCCTTGGCGGCCAAAGGTCAGATAGGGAGGCCAGGTCTACTGCTTCGTTCTCCTGGCGCTTCTGCGGTTGATAGTGATGTCCTGGGGGATTTGGAACATCCCTTTCAAGTGGTCACATTTACCAAGATTATGGAGATATATCCCCAATATATTGAAAACGTGACCGAGGAAGATTCTATCCCCAATCTTTACCAAGCCCTGTTCTGATTAGATCTTCTGTCGCGCCAACTCTACGGATTCTGTCAGTGATGACCTACTGAAATAAGCCAGTGGTGAATCGTCGTGAATTGACATCGAGTGACTAGAAAACCAGATACTACCACTGCTATCCGATAGGGTCCTGAGAGAAGGTGTCACTTCTGTAAGCCATGTGGTTTTCCCATGGCTCAAACCCCTCTGAACTGCAAGTCTTTGTTTCAAATTCTCATCCACCATAGCCATACATGAACTTCCACCAGCTGCGTTTAAATGTCTCATAGAATTGAAAGTTCCGAGAGCGGCGTTCAGCTATGCACCAGGGGTATCTAATGGGCCAACCTTAGACTCGTCAAAGATGCAGAGACGCTCAAGGACTCGATCCTGCAGCCCAGCGGCTTTGTACCCTGGTAGAACCCTTGAAGGACTTCGGTGGGGAGTTGGGCTATGTCAAAATAATGTTGGAGCAAACACCGGTTCCTTGTTGTTCCGCTGAACCCCCTATCAAGATGACCAATGCTTAAAATCAGCGGTTTCCCCATTAAAATGGCCATAATCTATATATATATGATTATATATGCACAAAAGTGGTGCTTCAACAAAAATGTGTCCGATATTGACAAGATCATGGTTGATCATCATGTCCCTATATTTCCAATTTCTTTCCTCTACTGAGACTGAACCCATTAACAAACGAAACTGCGGCCCCAACCGCTTCCGAGACACCACATCAAATGCTGCTACATCGCTCAGCAGAGTCGACAGGCTAATCTGAAGCGGCGGGCGCCGATGAATCCTATGTTTTTTCTTGTGCTAAACGTAGGGAATGGGGGAATGGGATGATAATGAAAATCGTTGATTGGATCATTCCCCCATTACTACCCTCTGGTAAACTAACGTAACTATGGAAAATCACCATTTTTAATGGGAAATTCCACTATTTCTATGGTCATTTCCAATAGCTATGTTAGTCATTACCAGAGGGTATCCATTACTATCCGCACCAGTTTTTTTTCAGTGCTCCATCCAGAAACAATGGACCATCGGGATGATTTATGAGACTGTAAACTCATTGGGGATGGTTCATGATTGGCTTTACCATATGGAGGTTTCCCAAAAAAGGGCTACCCCCAAATCATTCATAGTTTTATATAATTTATATATTTTAATAGGATGTTCCATTGTAAGCCATCTATTTTGGGTATCCCCATTTATGGAAACCCCCATATTAAAATGGACCCAAATCTATGGTCCAACTGAGGGCAGCGCATCCCCCTTGTATGTGGCCATGTCTTGCACTGCCATGGGCCGTTGCCTGAGGGAAACCCCACAGCTTTGGGAATTGAAATGGACTCATTTAATGGGGATTTAATGGGGATTTAATGGGAATATCATGGGAATATCATGGGAACATGATGGGAATATCATCATGATAGGGATATATTCATTGAATCTTAATGAGGAATATAATATAATTTTATATAATATAATTTAATTTAATTTGATTTAATTTATAATATAATTTATAACATAACTTATAATATATATATATATATATATGTATGTAGTTTGTAATATAGTATAATATATATATATATGTGTATATATATATACATAGTAAAGTATAATATAGTATAGTACAATATAATATAGTATAATATAATATAACGGGATAATTGGGATTTGATCCTCTGGTAATCAAACATGGCAAGCTGGGAAATCCACGAAAAAAATGGATGGTTTTTTATTGTGCCACATGGTGCCACGTTTGATTACCGGTTTTTCGGGTAACTCCATACTGCACTGGTCTTAGACCTGGAAATGGGGGACTCAACTTGTACGATGAGTTATTGTTTTTAAGGATATCAATATCAATCCATGGAAAATGTTGGAGTTTGGAATGAATTCTTTGACCAAAAGGGCCATCGAACAACCGTGCATCGTCACAAAACTGAAAAGCTGTGACCAGCTTCTGGTGACGAAGAAAAGTCAAGTGTTTGCCAAAGAAATACAGACCCTTAACCGGCAAACCACAATAAACATTGTGTCTTGGGATTGGAATGGACCAAAAAGTCCGTTGAAACAAAGTCTGCTCTCGCCTCAAGAGTTGACCACTTTGAAGACCTGCCAAGACTCACAATGAAAGATCCTGCAAAATTCATCGTGTTGTTCCCGATCCTCATCTGGTCCATGCCAGAAATCTGACTTTCTCATGGAAAGACTTTGGCTTTGGGTCTTTTTAAGCAAGGTCCCCGCCTCCATCCAGCCGAATGCGTGCATCCTGGTTCGGTATCTGCAAAAAACGGGTTCCCTCATGTTCCCTGATGAAAATGACCACCTTTGGCCGTTTGAAACAAGCACAAAGTGATTTTGAACTGTTTAAGCTGTTCCTTCCCAAACTTCTATTTTTGGGTGTGAACAAATTGCAGAATGCTGCCGCACAAAGAATTGGGTTGAGAAACGTTCTTGGGCTGCTACATATTGGGCCCAAGCTAGCCCAAGCTCCAGTCATGGGTATAGCAACCCCACATGGGACATATTTTGTAGGGTCAAAATTGGGTAGCCAAATGGGTAGCCACCACTAATCCATTGCCTTAGAGCCTCGTTGCAGCGGCTTTCCTGGGCAACAGGGATGCACGGTGGACACACATCTTGCATGGTTTTTTGCCGCCAAACATCTAGGCAAACTTATATCCATCTTATGTCCATCCCATCCTACTCCATACATCTCCATACTATATCAACATATATCAACGGTCAAGTTGTGTGGGTTTTCATAGGTGGGCGTATGATTATCTCATGCCATCGATTCTTGCGATGGTTATGATGGCTGTGAACTCCAATGGATTGATAAAAAATCCCCTGGGCCAAGTTTTCACCATGGCACGTGTCGCGTTGGCGCTGGTGACAGCCTCCACCAAACTCTGGCCTTGGCGCAGCGAAATCATTTCCCCCATGAAATCATGTCCGCCATATATTCGAAGGCGAATCCCCGCACAAATCTGGCCTGGTCGATCATCATTTTCCCAGAAACACATGACGCTTCATAGCCGCTTCATGTTACTTTAAAAATGCATTCAACAATGCCCATGTTTTGCATTTTTCATCCTCCTTCGGACGAAAAACCTCCGTTTCCTCAAAGGCTCGGACGATATGTCCGGTCAAACTTCGGAGCCGATGTCTGCTTCGCTCGGCTTCCCTGGGAGGACTTGTTGATCAGTTGCTGTGTCATCCTTAGAAGTTAATGTTATTACGTTCTTATAGTAGATACTAATGATACTATATATATATATGTATATATATATAGCTTATCCGTGTATTTACACAATGTAATACATCCTAGAGATTCCTAGAGTAACTACATTCCCTAAATAAAATACATATTACACATCTATTTTGTATATATATATATATGTATAAACATATGTGGAGCCGAGGGAATCTATAACAGCAACAGGTCAATTTAAAAAATGAAAATAAACAAAACTAAGTTGTATATTCCCAACATGCTACAATGATGGGTTTCACTGACTTGGTTTCTGTAAAAAACGTGCGGGAATCCCCCATATTTGGTGGCCTGGGCTATAAATACCATGATTTCCTGCAGACGTTCCAACTAATGCACACGAATGCAACGTCCCAATCAACACGGTAGACCCATCTAGTTAGCTGGTTTTAATTCACCCCATGAAGAGTAGAGTTATATAAGGTATATAAGTATATATACATATATATATATGCAATTATAAGCATATATAAGCTATATACCCCATCACCCATAAATTTCACCAAGTTATGTGTGTCAAGCGATTTCGTCAATGGGGCCTCTACTCCTTGGAAGAAAGCCTCGCAAAGGCCTGGATAGGCTGCGACTGCCTCACGGATTTAAACAAGAAAGCGACGCATAGCGAAGCTTGAGGCAGGTGGGCATGGAAAATGATACCCCACTGGAACAACAACCATACAATAACATCAAAATGACACCCCCGTTATGAAGAAAATTCGTTCAACATGCTTTCGAAACCAACAATCATTCGGAGGTTGCTAGGGGATTCCACCACCATGACTTGTTGGGTTATATATACACACATATAACTATATAACCCCTAAACCATGGGTCATAATAGTCACAATAGTATACAATAGTCAGAAGAATCCCCAATAGAAAAAATGGGGGAATATATACGAGTAACTTAGTGTAAGCCCCTACAATCATCAACCAGTGGTTGAGCGCAGCCATCTTCGTCCGCCTTCTGCAAGGTTGCCTTGTCCACAGCCCATGGTGAGTCCTGTGCTGCTATCCGCTGGTTGGTCCCAGATCCCGGATCCCACATTTTGGAAGGCCTAGAACATGAATTGTAGTAGATATGACTTAGATATGTATAGATGTCTGGGGTCAAGAAAAAGATTTATTTGGCTGTCAAGCAATGTGCTGGCGCAGTGTGTTGGAGTACTTCCCTCATTGGCTGAAGAGCCAAGGATGCCAAGGTGTGCGACATGATTTTCTTCCCACTCTCCTCGTCTGAATCCAACAATTCAATGGCTGAAGACACAGGCCTCAGCGCAGACTTCGCGTCAAAAAAAGCCATCAAGCACCACAACTCAACAGTCACGTCGCTCGAGGTAGCTGCGCAAACATCAGGGTGGCCAAGAATGCGATAGGCCTGCACTTCTGAAGGTTGAGTTTTGGATGATGTTGGGTAAACCATGGTGCCCATGTCGAAGACTCCGGAAATCTCTGGAAATATCATGATGGTGGTGGGCCAACAATGGTGATGCAGCAAATGGACTCTCAACTCAAGTACCAAGCCAGGACTAGACTCGACATAGAAAAGAAACGAAACGAAAAGTAGGTATCTTCCAAAATGGGGAAGAAAGTCTTCAAAACTCACCATTTTTTGAAGATTGTTTTTTCAAATTGCTATGAATAATTCCAGAAATCAACAACTTAGTCATGGCATATAATGGATCATACCCAAAGGAAAAAATTAAGATGGGATTCCAGAAATCAACAACATATATATATAATATATATATATGGCAGATATATCAAGATCATATGGTATATTCCCTTTCATTTCTAAATGATCTTGAAACACGCCTTGACTCGGCCAAGTTGGTGAGAGGAAGAAATGGCACCTTTGTTGAAACTGGTGAATCGCCAGTGACTGAGTTGCTTGGGTTGGTCTGAAAATCGGGAAAACCTGGGAAAACCTGGGAAAACCTGGGAAAACCTGGGAAAACTTGGGAAAACCTGGGAAAACCTGGAGAATAGCTTAAAACTTCCAAATTTCCCCATTTTTCATGGCAAATGGCGGGGAAAAGAACCCCCCAATTTTCTGACACACCCTAATTTTCCTGTGATTAAGTTGATCGAGAAGCTTACCCTCGGGTAATAAATTTTGGCAATGGAAAACCCCGCATTGATAGATGATTAAAACCTCCATTTTGTTCAGGGATTTTCCAGCCAGCCACGTTTGATGACACCAGAAGGTAATATCCCAATTATCCCAAATCATATCCCATCCTGTTTAGTTTTATTATGTCTTATTCCATTCTGTTCCTATTCCAATTACACCAATTCATATGTCATTCTGTTCATATTCCCATCCGTAGCTTCGGCGTTGAACGTGTGCCCCGGCGTTTAACACCACGCAGGTGCTGAGAGACCCCACCCCTTCCGCGTCTTCCCGCAAACGATCACTGGGAATGTCGGACATGTAGACCTGACTTTAGTGGGGATTCAATGAGGATCAAACCATCAAACAGGATGTCAAAAATGGACCATTCATCTATAAATCGGGAACAAAAAATATGGGATGTCCTTTCGTAAACATAAACACAGAGTTTGCAAAAAAAAATCGATGATTGACCTACTAGTTTGATGCTGATTTCCCATAGCTATGTTCGTTTACTGAAGGGCAACCTATGGGATGTGTTCAGTTTTTGGGTGCATAGGAAATGGCTTTGGTACCGCTAAATCCAGTGGTTTCCATTGTCATGTTCCCTTTTGCAATGGCTAATTCTTTGTTGGCATGTGATGAATCAAATTTCATGAATTTCTACACAAGAATTGTCTATTGATGATTGGTTTAAAGCAATTGAAACATATACTGGTTTGTGGTTTCAACCCTCTGAAAAATATTAGTCAGTTGGGATGATTATTCCCAATATATGGAAAAATAAAAAATGTTCCAAACCACCAACCAGTATAATTCAATGTATCCCCCATGAATGCCACTTGGAATCCATAGGCGCAGGTGGATCGATACTAAAACCCATGGTTTCATGGCATGGTATTTTGATGTATTTTGACCCTTCGCGAACTGGACAATGACCCCTTGGGTTCCATGACGGACCTAAACGCCCCAATTCTTCATCGCAAACTGGTGCATTACTAGAGGATAAATATATCTGGCGGCTTGAATTACCCTCCACCTCGGTTCAACCTGCTACCCCCTTTGGCTTTTTGCTTGAATCCCCACTTGTCAACGGTTGAGTCACCATAGTCTTGGTTGAATCCCATTTTAGGTGATGTTGTTTTTTATTAGATCCCATGACACATCCACACTTTTCATTGGTTCATGGTCATATATGGTCATATCACCTGTCGATTGTCGATTGATTTTGTAACCTTTTCTGCTGGCTGAATCCCGAATTGCTGCTTCAGTCCCAATGTTTCATACAAATCCCCTATTTTTTCTGGTTGAACCTCTAAATATCCTATTCTTCTGGCTTAAATCCCAATGTTCTCCTACTTTTGCTTCTCTAAGCCCCCGGTTTTTGGGCTGCTTCACTCCCATTTTTCTGGTCCCCCGTTTCAACTTGGCAACGAAGGCCGCGTGGTGCAGCGACGCCGCGAAGAGGTGGGGATTGCCCAGGCGACCAACCAGCAGCAGCGGCGCCTTGCATAGAAATCGATGATGAGATTGGATTTACCTACAGGGTGCCCCAGTTCGTTACCCTCTGGTAAACTAACATAGCTATGGAAAATCACCATTTTCAATGGGAAAATCCACTATAAATGGTCATTTTCAATAGTTATGTTAAATTACCAGAGGGTAGATAAGTTGGTGCAAATAAGTCCAATAACTATGGTTTTTGTTGGTGATGTATCTATAGTTAATGGGATTATAACCCATTTATGACTGGGGGGGCACCACCTTGTACTAAGGCTTTAAGTTGGGAAGTCACATCAACATGGGAGAGTTGGAAGAAAGTCACGAATCTGATCTGAAGAGTTCGGCTGTTTTTGGATAGATCCCAGAGCCTGTTGTCTTCAAGGGGGAATTGCCCGGAAAACCGGACCCTGCATAGCTTCAAATAGTTTCAAGTATTTCACGTAGAGAAATGGAGTGTAAGTCAGTGATTGCCATAGTTAGTAACATAGTTTTTGCAGTGTTTTGGCTATTCCTCACTATTATACTATTAACCATCATTAGACAAATACCTATGGCTAAGAAATCTACTTGTTTTATCAAACCAAATCCAAACTATTATGTTTAACGCTTATTATAATTCTTATTGCCATCTATTAAGATTCCCTCAGGCTCCGCACCCAGGGTCGCTGAGACTGCTGGATGTTCAGTTCCTAACGCGGCACACTCTTCGGCTTTGGTTGGGGCCAAATTGAGCCATGAACTATGAACGAAATACCCAACGTTTGATGGGTTAAGAACTAGGGACTTATATTATATACATACCCTGGGGTAAGCCAACGAAAGATTTGGAAAACCCATGGTGAAACCCGCTCGGAAATTATCTACAAATGATGGGTTTTCTACATCTATGTTAGTTTACAGGAGGGGACAGTAATTGATTTGGGGATCATGATAAGCCATAGTAGCGAAACCGTTTTCAACCAATAGTTCGATGGTTTTGCCATTCACCCTATAAATAGAGGTTTATAGCTGGGAAATTCATCGAACTAAATATGGATTCTGCAGCTTGCCACGTTTCATGACACCGGAGAGTAACAAGCAAGATATGGAGTTAACATCGATATATATATATATATAACTATATATTATACTATAATTTTTTATATTATATTATATATTATACATTATATATTATATATTAAATATTATATATTATATATTTTAAATAATATATTATATATTATATATTAAATATTATACATTCTATATTAAATTCAATATATTATATTTTATATTATATATTATACTATATTTACTTTATATTTAGATTATATATTATATAGTAAATATTATATTTGATATACTATATATTAAATATTATATATTTTGTATTATATATTATATTTTATATATTGTAGATTATATATTATATATTATATATTATATATTATTTTATATTTAATTTAAATTTAATATTATATATTATATATTATATTTGATTTATTATATACTATATATTACATATTATATATTATATATTTTGTATTATATATTATTATATATTAATATAATATTTTATATTTTGTATATTATATTATATATTATATGATAAAATTTATATTATATTATATATTATATATTATATATTATATATGTTAAATTTTATATTATATTATAGAATATATTATATATTATATTATATATTATATTATATATTATATTTACTTTATATTTCTATTATATATTATATACTATATATTATCTATTTTATATTTTGTATTATATATTATATTTAATATATAATATTTTATATATTGTAGATTATATACTATATTATATTTAATTTATATTTTATATTATATATTATATATCAAATATTATATATTATTTACTATATTTGATATATTATATATTATATGTTATATATATATTATATATTATATATTGTATTTTATATTTTTTTTAATATATTAAATGTTATATATTATATATTATATATTATATTATATATTCTATATTATATATAATATATTTTATTATATATTATATATTGTATATTATATATTATATATAATATATCATATATTAGCTATTAGATATTATATATTATATGAATATTATATATTATATATTATATATTATGTATTATATATTATATCTTATATCTTATATTTTAATATATATATATATACCCCAAAGTTGGCAAAAATATGCCCATATCATCTAGATGCAGTGCAATAGACCCAACAATCAACCATGCCCTGTCGATGAAACCTTACTATTTGGGGCTCTTGAAAAGCTATACTCAAAAAACTATACCCAAAGAAAGAGATTCATTAACCATTGATTAAGATACTAACCACCACCTGTTGGGTTTAGCATTCTCACAAAATTGAGTCCCGCATCGCGCCTTCAAGGAACTCATTGTGGTGGCCAGGTCGTATCGTTGCAGGTATAGCCTTGACCCACCGGACTCAGGTGAAGGCAAACCCACTGGTGAAACCCACAATAGCTGGGGTTTATGGATGTAAGAATAACCACCCAACAGTAATACATGGAAATACGACGTTTTGACCCATCTCAGAACATCTTCCAAAATGGGCTGCGGTATATCACCATCAGATATCACTGATATCACCTACGAGAATGAAGGAGAATATGGTCGCATGGATGTAGCATGATACCGACTAGTCAATAATGTTACTGGATGTTTTTCGATGTTATAACGGACCTCATTCAATGAATTCGGTGAATTCGGCTATTCCATTGACACACATATATATATATGCCAACAATTGTTTATATTTGTCATGTATCCTACAAATAAATTATATATATATATATGTGTGTGTGTTCCTTATCGATATAATATCCATAATTATCCTTTTCGTTATTGGCGTTATAATGCGTTATATATGATGGAGATGATCAACAGATTCTTGTGACAAGGCATGAAGCGCATGATCTCAGGCCGCCACAACAACAAGGCAGGCAGATCCTGAGATCGCCGCAGGCAGATCATGGCTTCAGCAGGAGAGGCTCTGCAGCTTTCACCAACAAAAACCCGGATCAAGCATAGTATGATCCAACAGCCGAAAATCAGCAAACTCCCAACCCCCATTTTTCCCCAGCCAGTCAATGTTTCTGTCGGAAAATTTGGCTGGTCTTCTTCTTCTTTCGCCCAGTCTCATTGTTGATGCAGAAGTTGATGAAGAAACAATGGAAGGGGCTCATTTTTGCCATGGGCAGGAGCTGATCCAGTGGCAGCACTCCACCCTCGCCATCTTCATCCAGCTTCGTGGCCAATGGGGTCACCTCTCGGGAAATCCCATGGTGAAAATTTCCAAGTGGAATCCAATGCCTTGTGTTTTTTACCGTTGAAACACCTGGTTTCAAGATTCTCCTAAAAAATGAAGTTCGGAAATTCCATGGTGTTACTTGTTTGGAGGTGTTCAAGGGTTTTTGTTAATTGATTTCAAAGTAAGAAAAAACCATGAAGTTTAGAAATCCAGGTGTCCCAAACCACTTTAAACATCGCATAAATCAACAAACTTGTTGTCACAACCTCCATGCCCCAAGATGTGGGTCTCAAAATGATACCCTGAAACTGCAATCTCTGGACCGGGCAAATCCGATAAACCGTGGGGATCTGTGCGTGAAGTCAACCCCGCAATCACAAATCCTTGGGCTGTTGGAAAAAAGGGTGCCACTTAAGATGCGAATCATTTTGGACGGAACACCCCTTAATCCTCAATCAGCCTTGTAGACTGAACATCAATCCCAACTTCACATCAAAATCACGTAACAATCTACTAGCAATTAGTCTGAATAATGCATGATATGATGATATATTCCACAAAAAAGATGATAAACGTGATGATTTTCATCATCATCATCATCATCATGAATCCTCAGTACCTGCATTCCCAGCACCATGGCACCTCTGGTCGTTGTCCTTCCCCAAAGAGTTTTCCACAGGACGTCAAGCGCCCCAGCAGCGCCTCCCAGCTCTGAGCGCCGCAGAAGATGCCGCGGCGGCCCAGCTGCTGCAGCAACACCTCGCGGCTGAAGGAGGTGCAGAAACGAAGGCCGCGCTGCTCGAACTTCTCCAGGTCCACGGCACTTTTTCTGGGAAGGAGATGGATGGTATATTATTATACTAATTATATTATAATTATATTAACTATTTGATTATTAAATTACCATTATCCATTAATATGTATATATATATATATACATTCTTAATGGTGGGATGAAGACGTGGTACTAGATGTTGTTCGGAATTTCTGAAAATTGGAGATAAGATGAGCGTGTTCTTCAAACTGCATGCACCTAGTTGGATGCGCTTCACGAATGAAATGCCTTCAGCACGAAAAATGGGGGCAAGCGTACCACAAAAAAGGGGATAAAGGAACCAACCGGAAGTGTTCAATGAGAATACCGTGAACGAGACGTCGGATACTTTCTGGAGGAAAGACACATGGAAACCAACAATTCTGGCTCATCTTGAAGCATTTAGGAGAGTGAGTGTGATTCCCATAAGTAAAAAAAAAAAATCCCCCCGCAAATTAGCATAGACCATGCCACATAGGAGGTTGGAAGATTAGTCTTCTACTAAACATTGGTCATTTTCAGGGTCTATCTTAATTTTGGTGAGGGTAGTTGGGTCATTAACAGTGTCGCATTTTTGCCAACTCTTCCACTGCTTCATCTGATCAGTGGGCAGCATCCCAAACCCAAGGACTTCAGAGCCTACCCAAGTGAGCAGCGGCTGCTGAACCCGAGTTATCTCATTCCATTAACGAATCAATGGCGGAAATTCAAGTGAAAATGGATGATCATGCCATCAATCTACCAGGCAGTACTTCCAGATACTTCCAGATGCGATGATCAATGGTGGGTTGAACACTGCTCATATCTTCAAATCCTGGAATAATGATTGTTGAATTCCCACTGTTCACAAGTCTATTGATCAAACAAGATCAAAGAAAAAACATGTCTTTCATAAACGGTCAATCCCAGCCCCGATCTTTTTCCCGAATGCGTAGCAAGGGTTCCCGTTTCACTCTGGGGGTCTGGGGGTTGAGGGTGTGTTCGCTCGACGTTGCGTTCACGATCGCAACCGTTCGCAACCGTTCGCAACCGTTCGCAACCGTTCGCAACCGTCCGCAACCGTCCGCAACCGTCCGCAAGTGTTCGCGCGATCCCCGTATGGCCGTGCCTATGGGAAGTTCTGCAGAGGTGGTCCTTTTTGGGGGTTGCAGACGTGTCGTTGCTTCGTTTCGCGTGGCAGGCGTGGCACTTCGTGACATTCAGACGTGTTCTGGAACGTGTCGAAAGTCGTTTGGCGTGGCAGGCGCAATACTTTTGTGACGTTTTCAGAAGATGTGTTGCAGTTTTCGTGGCAGGCGCAGCACTTGGACGTGTCCATCGTCATTTTTCGTGGCAGGCGCAGCACTTTAGACGTGTCGTGTTGCGTGTTTTTTGTAAATCGCATTGGCAGGGCTGCGTCAAGTGGCGACAAGGTGCAAATTCCGTGGCAGGCGTGGCATTTTGTGCTATGTGCTGAAAAGTGACGGAAGCCTCGCACGAAACATCGATTTTGAGGTTGCAAATTTTCAGGTTCTAAGGAAAACTCGTAGGAAAACGTCGATTTTGCAGCTACAATTGGAGTGTTTGAAAAAAAAATCGCCGGAAGTCTCGTACGAAATGATCGTTTTGGTGCTCCCACGTGTCTCGTCTCGAGTCCCTGATGTTCCTGTGGGTTCGCCGCGTCTATGGGGGAAGCCGCAAAACCTCTCCTTTTTGAAGGTTTCCAAGGAAGTTGTCATGTCGTTTTGCGTGGCAAGCGTGGCACTTTGTGACATTCCAACCTGTTTGATAATGTGTCAAAAATGTCAAAATTGTAGGAAGTCTCGTACGAAATGCTGGTTTTCTGCATCCACGTGTCTTGTCTCGAGTCGCTGGTTTGCCTGTGGCGTCGCCGTGTCTATGGGGGAAGCTGGAAAACATGTCCTTTTCGAATGTTTCCAAGCAGGTTGTCCTGTCGTTTTGCATGGCACGCGTGGCACTTTGTGACATTCCAACCTGTTTGATAACGTGTCGAAAATGTCAAAATTGGATGAAGTCTCGCACGAAATGCTCGTTTTTTTGCACCCACGTGTCTCGTCTCGAGTCTCTGGTTTTCCTGTGGCGTCGCCGTGTCTATGGGGAAAGCTCCGCGCTGCACACTCTACACTTTACACTCCGCACTCCACAATTTACACTTTAGACTCCACACTCCACACTTTACACTTTACACTCCACACTCTATACTCCACACTCCCCACTTTACACTCCACACTCCACACTCTACACTTTCCACTCCACACTCCGCACTCCACACTCCACACTCCACACTTTACTGTATACACTCCACACTCCACACTCTATACTTTACACTCCTCACTCCACACTTTACACTCCTCACTTTACACACCACACTCCACACTCTACACACCACACTCTACACTTTCCACTCCAGACTCCACACTCTACACTTTACGCTCCACACTCCACACTCCACACTTTACACTCCACACTTTACACTTTACACTCCACACTCTACACTTTACACTCTACACTTTACACTCTACACTCTACACTTTACACTCTACACTCCACACTCTACACTTTCCCCTCCACACTACACTTTACACTCCACACTTTACACTTTACACTCCTCACTCCACACTCTACACTCCACACTCCCCACTGTACACACCACACTCCACACTCTACACTTTCCACTCCACACTCCGCACTCCACACTCCACACTTTACTGTACACTCCACACTGCACACTTTATACTTTACACTCCACACTCCACACTTTACACTCCACACTCTACACACCACACTCTACACTTTCCACTCCAGACTCCACACTCTACACTCTACACTTTACGCTCCACACTCCACACCCCACACTTTACACTCCACACTTTACACTCCACACTCCACACTTTACACTCCTCACTCCACACTCCACACTTTACACTCCACACTTTACACTCCTCACTCGACACTCCACACTTTACACTCCTCACTCCACACTCCTCACTTTACACTCCACACTTCACACTCCACACTTTCCACTCAACACTCCACACTTTACTGTACACTCCACACTTTACACTCCTCACTCCACACTTTACACCACACTTTACACTCCACACTCCACACTCTACACTCCACACTTTACACTCCACACTCCACACTCTACACTTTACACTCTACAATACACACTCTACACTCCACACTTTACACTCCACGCTTTCCACTTTACACTCCTCACTCCACACTTTACGCTCCACACTTTACACTCCACACTCCACACTCTACACTCCACGCTTTACACTCCACACGCTACACTCTACACACCACACTCTACACTTTCCACTCCACACTCCACACGCTACACTCTACACTCCACCCTCTACACTTTACACTCTACACTTTACACTCTACACTTCACACTCTACAATTTACAATCTCCACACTCCTCACTCCGCACTTTACACTCCTCACTTTACACTTCACACTCCTCACTCCACACTTTACACTCCTCACTTTACACTCCACACTCCTCACTCCACACTTTGCACTTTACACTCCTCACTCCACACTCTAGACTCTACACTCCACACTCCACACTCTACACTCAACACTCTACACTTTACACTCCATACTCCACACTCTACACTTTACACTCCGCATTCTACACTTGACACACTCTACACTGCTCACTCCACACTTTACACTCCACACTCCTTACTTCACACTCCACACTCCACACTCTACACTTTCCACTCCACACTGCAGACTGGTAACAAGGGAAACATGTACAAGACTGTTCAAATAAACTATTGCAGAAAGGTATTGTGCGTGACTGCATAACCATGTGTTTTGACATCGGTACCATTAACATACGTGTGAGCATTCGGGTTCGTGGGCTTCATCTTGTTTAATATCGCCATGAAATCCAACTGGAAAATCCCTGCTGTTGATGGTTTTTATCTTCATCATCTTTGATGGTTAAATCAAGGTATGGCAATGGAAAGTTTACCGTTTCTAGATGATTTTCCCAGCTATAAACCTCCACTTTTCATGGGGATTTCCCAGCCACGTTTGATGACACCGAAGGATACCCTCCTGTAAACTAACAGTTCGATGTGGAGTTTACCCACCATTTGAAGATCATTTTCCTGGGGCAATGAGGGGTTTTCCACTCTATGTTGGTATACCCGGTCCCCCAGCTGACCGAGCTTCCCTTCTTCATTCACCAGGTCCGTACTCCTCAACGGCAACGAGCGGACCCAGGCAGCTAGGCCCCGCCAGTCTTGATGAGCCACCAGAAAGTCCAACCAACCTGGGATGAAGGTGGCCCCTGGTCATTGTACATGTGATCCTCCGGTCATTTGTTACCGTTTGCGAACTATGCCATGATTTTTAAATGGCTCAGCAATACTTCGATGATTTACCTATGAAATATGATCGTGTTCCACAGCTATGTTATATAAATTATCGGAGGGTGGATGATAATCATATAATATTGATTAATATTATATATACATATAATATATATAATATCGCTTGTATTGTGCTTATATTAGTAATCTTGATCTTATATTATCTAGTGATATCTATTATTGATACAGTATACCAGGCTGGTGGGTTTTAATGGTGATCGCAATATTAGGTTGCCACAGTGCATCGAACAAAAAAAGTTTGAGTTCAGAAAAGAAAAGAAACTAAGATGGGGTGACCGGTTGGAGCCCAGGCATTGCTGATCTTTCTTGGAAACATCTTGAGACATGTCCATGTTGAAACCTCTTCAGTTCCCATCTTCTCTTCACGATCCTTTCCTGATTGTAAATGTCAAGCGCAGGTTCTCTTCCAAAAACTTGGGGATGCAGCCTGCAACCCGCAATTCGTGGCGACTCGGAAGAATCGTGATAGACAATCATCAACGATAGACAATCCAATATTCCTTGGTTCTTCCCAAAAAAAATGTAGAGTTTTGCTCCATCCCCACACCATCCCCATCCGAGCCACAGTGCTGCCATGCCTGCGCGGGTGGCCCAGCCTCTGCTGGCGGCTGTAGAAAGGCCATGGGCTCCACCAAGCGCGGCCAGAAATGGGTCTTCTCCATGACAATCCGCGCACGCGTCTCCCAGCTCCTCCGTCGAAAACTGCTGGAATTCATCATGGGATTTGGGATGCAGAAAGCTGGAGAAACTGAAGTTCTGAAGCTGAGGATTGTAAAGAATTCTTTCAATTTGACCCAAAAAGTGAAATGATGTGAATTGTTATGTTGACCATGTTGTGAGTATTTTTCCAAATGTGTAAAAATACCAAAATAGCACCAAAATCGCAAAAGATCGGGTGATCTTTGGTAGGTGGCATAATGCAAACAGCATCTTAGGCTCGCTTTAGGTCCGTTCTTGCGGGCTCACTTTCCACCAATCCATGGCTATGAGTCGAAATTGGCTTATCCACACAAAGATGGAATGGTAAAAAGGAAAAACATGGCTGTACTAAAAATGGAACCAAATCTGAATAGGATGGTTAAACATGTTTTAAAAAAAAAAAACATGGTTTATACCCTCTGGTAAACTAACATAATCTACGTATGGAAAATCTCCAATTTTAATGGGAAGACTCACTATAAATGGACATGTTCAATAGTTTTTGTATGTCAGAACATATGCCAGAAGATATGCCAGATAGAATGCCAGATAGAATGCCAGAAGATATGCCCAGAAGATTTGCCAGTAAGAAAATGTATAAATGTCATGGTGGGGATTACACGAAGTAAAGTATTTTTTTGTATGTTTACCAGAGCGTAACTGAAACATACTGAAACTGATCTGTAGATTGCCCAGAGTCCACTGTCGCATCCAGCCCAAAGTGACGTGGAGATAACCCCTGGTATGACCTTGGTTCAACTGGGATAATTTATTGGTGTTCAATGGATTGGTGTTCAATGGATTGGTGAAGTTCAATGGATTGATGAAGTTCAATGGATTGAAACCATGGCTTTTGAGATTGTTTGATGTCTTTTGGATGTTCCTGCAGAAGTTCCCACACAAATTAACAAAACCAATTCTGGGAGAAGAGGATCTCAATGTTTCATACGTCATATATCATGCGAAAGTAAACAAAGAGTTACCTTATGAGGCTGTGGCATACTGCAATAGTTTCAAAAAACATGATCCAGCCCAAAAAACACACCATAGCATAGAATTCGTAGTCACTATTGACCAATCGTCAAGCTATTCGTAAACCCTGAAAAACATGAGGGGTCCCAAAAGAACAAAACATTTTCCGATATCTTCCCCATAGATTCCAAATCATGGTGGATGTTCCAGTGGAAAAACCGGCAGCGCATCAAATCACCAGCAAACCCAGGACGGCCCCTAACCCCCTTTCTTTGGCCCCTCCGCCAGCGCGACTCTTTGATCCAGCATCATCCAATCCCAAAGCCTGCGACGCTTCCACCAATCCAACCGGGTAGTAGTCACACCCAAGTGGGTGAAACCACCAAGCAACTCTGCATTGCAAAATGAACCAAAGCTTTGGGCTAAACTCAGCAGCTGCATTTTCTCTGTCAGTCGATTGATTACGTATAGATAGAGGTACAATGAGCTGGCACGTTTCCAGCAGCGACCAATGCCGCTATGTCAAATGTTTCCTCTGGAAACATGCAAAGGGAGCGGGCGCAATTCTGCGCCAAAAGCAATCAATGAATCATAATGAATCAATGAGGCAGCCTTGTTGTTGAAAGAGCTGCTACAAGAGTCTATGTTGTCCTCACTTCTTGGACAGAATGCCCAGGGCCTTCTCCCCCATAAGATCTCCATATCTCTTGGCTTCTGCCTTGTCTTCCTCAGTGATGTCATCCCAGCCGGCAGTGGGGGTGTCGTCCTTGCAGTAGGCAGCCAGGCAGCGGCTAATCCCAACGCAGGAGCAGTTGAACCTTGGATTTGCTTAAGAGCCACCCCAAAGAAAATAAAACATATTTCATATTCCTGTACATTCTCCAAGTGGGTTTCCCATTGAGAAAATAAAAGAAGATCAAAAAAATAATAATCCTCAGCAAATTCCAAGAACTCACCAACGATCCACTTCTCATCCTCAGGTTTAGTTCCAGGTGGAGAAGAATTGATGAAGTCAGTGGTCCACCACAGCGGCAAAGGCTCATCTGCCAACTCAAGAGATGGCATGACGTGCTGCAAGTCCTTCTTCAAGAAGTTGTTGGTGAGAGCGGCAAAGAGTGGTTCCTCTGGGCCATAATAGGTGTAGACGGAACCAGTTCCACCAACTGCGGAGATTCCTCCCTCCTTGGGCTTCTTGTGAATGATGCCAACCAAAGCATCTCCCACCAGGTTGTATCGGAGCTCACCTTCCACAATACGAGGGCAGAAACGCTGATCCACAAGCTGGCCGCCGGCCTCCTTGCCACCCTCCAAGTACTTGCCAACACCCTTGGATGTCCATTCACCGGACTTGGAAGTTCGGCCGTTCACGCAGAATTCAATAAACTCAGCCACGGTGTGTTCTTCCTCGTGGTTGTCATTGGCCTCCATCAGCAAAAGCTTCTCACCATCCTCGCAGGATCTCTCGCCATAAGAAGCGCAGTAGTTGCCCTCCTTGAGCTTGATAATCCAGATTCCTTGCTGTTTTTTGAGTGATGCAGTGATGCACTCTGTGAGGATACAGCAAATAAAGAAAATTGTGATTGACATTGATTGACAACATGATAAAACAATATTAATATAATGCCAACATCGGATTAATCAACCCCCCCCCAGAAGGTCAGAACTCTACCTTGTAGGTCCCCCCCTTAAGCACCCCTTAATAAACGGCCTCTGAACCCTAAAATTTTGGATATGGCTTACGTCAATTGGCTGAAAGCTATAGGGGACATTGGGAATGAATAGGCAAATCCAAAGAAAAAACATTAGGGACATGGTGGTTGATTAATCGGGGGGGGCAAACCTGATTATTATTAATGGTGGACATGGGCTCATGGGGGGTACCCTTTGGGAGCTATCCAAACTGATGATTTTTATGAAGAATTTAATTAGAAATCAATCATTTGGGGAATAGTTATTGTTTGAAATTTTCAATGATAAACTTAAACCTTAAGTATAACAATGATGATTAAAAAAATGTAAAAAACAATTGGAAATAAATAGAATTGGACATAAAAATTGTTGGATAAAAAAATGGATTTCAGCACAGGGGGTTGATTAATCATGTCCCAGCCAAACGGTTTATTAATCCTGGGGGACCACCTTTTTTTAAATTACATTTTTTTTGGGGCAGAGGGGGTTGATTAATACCGCGGGGTTTATTAATCCTAACTTGACATTAAATATATATATATATAACAAATGCATGTTTATCTGTAATTATATATATATATGTTTATGTGATTTATGTGCAAACCCAGATTCCTTCACCTGATGAGCCACGGTTCTGCTTGATCACTCGAGGCTGGAATGCCATGGTCTTCTTGAACCCTGTCGCAAACTCCTCAGGAGAATAGTAGGCAAGAGTGTCTTCCAGGCCAATGTTCATGGTTGCCACCTTGCAAAGAGCATCCTTTGCTCCCATCTTCTCCATGACATCGGGAGATGGCCAGACCTGGATACCCAGCTTGCGGATACCCCGCATGCCATCATCGAACTTGTTCTGGTCACCGCCATCAGCCTTGATCTGGCCGGGGTTGCATCGAACGATTATGAAGTCAAAGTTTTTACAAACCTCGAAGAACTTGTCATGCTCCTCATGGACATAATGGATGAGCTGACAGCTCATGCCCGCATTAATCATGCCGTTGGCCATGGGGATCGTGTCATACCTGTGGCAGTTGTTGCTCTTGTGACAACAGACAACATTGTGGGGAGGTGAGGCTTGTAAGATCTTATGAGTGGCTAGGCCCAGAGTTCAACGAGTTCAACTAGACACTATTCATACAAGGAAAATGTAGCTGCAAAAACGGAGCAGCATGTAGTGGCTGTACAAATGCACGTGTACTTAGTTCAAGAAGTACAAAGACATCCAAAGACCAAGGTACCTGTGGCCGTTGTTGCTCTTGTCGGAGCCTCCATAAGGCTGGCTGCGAACAAAGATTTGGCACAAAGCACCCTTGAACTTAGGGGCTGCGGGCTGATCCAACAAGCCCTTGTAGTCCTTGGCAATGACGGTGAGACCGCTGCAGTCGACAGGCCCAGGGCAAGCCATGACAGAAAACCTCAAGAATTACAAATGAGGCAAAGACGCAGTGAGGGTTCTTGATCCAAACTCTCCACAGCGAGAAAGGCAATGAGTCAGAAAATGTCAGCAGGCATCAAAATGTCAGAAGATGTCAACAGGAAGGCATGCTCTGAAATCGCTTTGAACATCTAGAACATTTTGAGCAGCGGGAATTGGAATAGATTCTCCATGGCTTTGAGGCATGACAATGCCCGTCCGGTTCTGTGTCAGAACTAACAGTCAGCGACATGTTGGTTGCACCAAGCAACTCTGCATTGCAATTAAATGAACCAAAGCTTTGGGCTAAACTCAGCAGCTGCATTTTCTCTGTCAGTCGATTGATTACGTATAGATAGAGGTACAATGAGCTGGCACGTTTCCAGCAGCGACCAATGCCGCTATGTCAGATGTTTCCTCTGGAAACATGCAAAGGCAGCGGGCGCAATTCTGCGCCAAAAGCAATCAATGAATCACAATGAATCAATGAGGCAGCCTTGTTGTTGAAAGAGCTGCTACAAGAGTCTATGTTGTCCTCACTTCTTGGACAGAATGCCCAGGGCCTTCTCCCCCATAAGATCTCCATATCTCTTGGCTTCTGCCTTGTCTTCCTCAGTGATGTCATCCCAGCCGGCAGTGGGGGTGTCGTCCTTGCAGTAGGCAGCCAAGCAGCGGCTGATCCCAACGCAGGAGCAGTTGAACCTTGGATTTGCTTAAGAGCCACCCCAAAGAAAATCCACCGACCCCGGCCTTGGCCAAGGCAGGGGCGGCGCCTGGGACCACCGCAGGTGTGGAACTTCTCCTTCTTCGCTGTCCAAGGTCAAACCCATCTCGCAGCCATCAAGCTGCCCCAAGGCCATATCGCGTAAACATTTTCCTGGCATGCTTCGTTCTCCAGTTAAGACTTCCAGGCATTTGGACATGAAAATTACATGCTTTGGGCAAGTACGTTTTCCTCCGGAAGGTTTTGTCTGAAGGTTTTGTCTTTCAAGGCTCCTTCTTCGCTTTCCACGGTCAAACCCATCTCGCAGCCAGCCAGCCGGCGCAAGGCCACATCATGTAAACATTGTCCTGGCATGCTTCGTCCTCCCGATACGACTTCTAGGCATTTGGACATGAAAATTTCATGCTTTGGCCAAGTAAGTTTTCCTCCGGCAGGTTTTGTCTGAAGGTTTTGTCTTTCAAGGCTCCTTCTTCGCTTTCCAAGGCCACACATCAATGGCTTCTTATGGGCCGCTGAAACAATCCCTTGGCATGCTTCATCCTGCAGCCAACAGGCACCCCAAGGCCACACATTAATGGCTTCTTCTGGGCGTCCAAGCCTGCCGTTTGCCAGCCCTTAAACCCTTAAAACCCTCCAAACCCTTAAAACCCTCCAAACGCTTCAAACCCTTAAAAACCTTAACACCCTTAGACCCTTACAACGCTGACTTGGCATGCTTCATCCTGCAGCCAACAGGCACCCCGAGGCCACACATCAATGGCTTCTTATGGCCACCCCGAGGCCACACATGAATGGCTTCTTATGGGCCGCTTAAACAATCCCTTGGCATGCTTCATCTTGCAGCCAACAGGCACTTCATCCTGCAGCCAACAGCCACCCCGAGGCCACACATCAATGGCTTCTTATGGCCACCCCGAGGCCACACATGAATGGCTTCTTATGGGCCGCTTGAACAATCCCTTGGCATGCTTCATCTTGCAGCCAACAGGCACCCCAAGGCCACACATCAATGGCTTCTTATGGGCGTCCAAGCCTGCCGTTTGCCAGCCCTTAAACCCTTAAAACCCTCCAAATCTTCTTATGGGCGTCCAAGCCTGCCGTTTGCCAGCCCTTAAACCCTCCAAACCCTTAAAACCCTTAAAACCCTCCAAACCCTTAAAAACCTTAAAACCCTTAAAACGTTCACTTGGCATCCGTCATCCTGCAGCCAACAGCCACCCCGCGGCCACACATCAATGGCTTCTTATGGCCACCCCGAGGCCACACATGAATGGCTTCTTATGAGCCGCTTAAACAATCCCTTGGCATGCTTCATCTTGCAGCCAACAGGCACCCCAAGGACTTGGCATGCTTCATCCTGCAGCCAACAGCCACCCCGAGGCCACACATCAATGGCTTCTTATGGCCACCCCGAGGCCACGCATCAATGGCTTCTTATGGGCAGCTTCAACAATCCCGTGGCATGCTTCATCCTGCAGCCAACAGGCACCCCAAGGCCACACATCAATAGCTTCTGATAGGCGTCCAAGCCTGCCGTTTGCCAGCCCTTAAACCCTTAAAACCCTCCAAACCTTCTTATGGGCGTCCAAGCCTGCCGTTTGCCAGCCCTTAAACCCTCCAAACCCTTAAAACCCTTAAAACCCTCCAAACCCTTAAAAACCTTAAAACCCTTAAAACGTTCACTTGGCATCCGTCATCCTGCAGCCAACAGCCACCCCGCGGCCACACATCAATGGCTTCTTATGGCCACCCCGAGGCCACACATGAATGGCTTCTTATGAGCCGCTTAAACAATCCCTTGGCATGCTTCATCTTGCAGCCAACAGGCACCCCAAGGACTTGGCATGCTTCATGCTGCAGCCAACAGCCACCCCGAGGCCACACATCAATGGCTTCTTATGGCCACCCCGAGGCCACACATGAATGGCTTCTTATGGGCCGCTTGAACAATCCCTTGGCATGCTTCATCTTGCAGCCAACAGGCACCCCAAGGCCACACATCAATAGCTTCTTATGGGCGTCCAAGCCTGCCGTTTGCCAGCCCTTAAACCCTTAAAACCCTCCAAATCTTCTTATGGGCGTCCAAGCCTGCCGTTTGCCAGCCCTTAAACCCTCCAAACCCTTAAAACCCTTAAAACCCTCCAAACCCTTAAAAACCTTAAAACCCTTAAAACGTTCACTTGGCATCCGTCATCCTGCAGCCAACAGCCACCCCGCGGCCACACATCAATGGCTTCTTATGGCCACCCCGAGGCCACACATGAATGGCTTCTTATGAGCCGCTTAAACAATCCCTTGGCATGCTTCATCTTGCAGCCAACAGGCACCCCAAGGACTTGGCATGCTTCATCCTGCAGCCAACAGCCACCCCGAGGCCACACATCAATGGCTTCTTATGGCCACCCCGAGGCCACGCATCAATGGCTTCTTATGGGCAGCTTCAACAATCCCTTGGCATGCTTCATCCTGCAGCCAACAGGCACCCCAAGGCCACACATCAATAGCTTCTGATAGGCGTCCAAGCCTGCCGTTTGCCAGCCCTTAAACCCTTAAAACCCTCCAAATCTTCTTATGGGCGTCCAAGCCTGCCGTTTGCCAGCCCTTAAACCCTCCAAACCCTTAAAACCCTTAAAACCGTCCAAACCCTTAAAAACCTTAAAACCCTTAAAACGTTCACTTGGCATCCGTCATCCTGCAGCCAACAGCCACCCCGCGGCCACACATCAATGGCTTCTTATGGCCACCCCGAGGCCACACATGAATGGCTTCTTATGGGCCGCTTAAACAATCCCTTGGCATGCTTCATCTTGCAGCCAACAGGCACCCCAAGGACTTGGCATGCTTCATCCTGCAGCCAACAGCCACCCCGAGGCCACACATCAATGGCTTCTTATGGCCACCCCGAGGCCACGCATCAATGGCTTCTTATGGGCAGCTTCAACAATCCCTTGGCATGCTTCATCCTGCAGCCAACAGGCACCCCAAGGCCACACATCAATAGCTTCTGATGGGCGTCCAAGCCTGCCGTTTGCCAGCCCTTAAACCCTTAAAACCTTCCAAACCCTTAAAACCCTCCAAACGCTTCAAACCCTTACAAACCTTACAACCCTTACAACGCTGACTTGGTATGCCTCATCCTGCAGCCAACAGCCACCCCGAGGCCACACATCAATGGCTTCTTATGGGCCGCTTAACCAATCCCTTGGCATGCTTCATCCTGCAGCCAAGAGGCACCCCAGGGCCACACATCAATGGCTTCTTATGGGCGTCCAAGCCTGCAAAACGCTGACTTGGCATGCTTCATCCTGCAGCCAACAGCCACCCCGAGGCCACACATCAATGGCTTCTTATGGGTGCTTAAACAATCCCTTGGCATGCTTCATCCTGCAGCCAACAGGCACCCCAAGGCCACACATCAATAGCTTCTTATGAGCGTCCAAGCCTGCCGTTTGCCAGCCCTTAAACCCCAAAACCCTCCAAACATGTTTTACTTGAGCTGTCACACGCGCGTATGGCACGGTACTGTCGTTTAATTATGAAGTAATGTGAGGGCCCCCAAAGGCCAAATCAATTCTCTTAGGCGTCCAAGGCTGCCGTTTGCCAGCATTTACACAATTCAAACGATACCCCAAAGCCAGATCAATAGCTTCTTCTCGGCGTTCCAGCTTGTCGTTTACCAGCTTTCTCTTTCACAACGCCGTCCTTGACAGAAAACTGCTTCCCACAGACCCTTCGATGGTCTACTTGCCCTGTCTTCACGTTACTGGCCACATTCCCTTTGCAAGCGGGGCAAATGTAAACATATGCTTTCTCCTTCACAACGCCGTCCCTCACAGAAAACTGGTTCCCACAGACCGTTCGATGGTCTATTTGCCCTGTCTTGACGTCACTGGCTACATTCCCTTTGCAAGCGGGGCAAATGTACACATACGCTTTTTCCTGCACGACGCCGTCCCTCACAGAAAACTGGTTCCCACAGACCGTTCGATGGTCTATTTTCCCTGTCTTGACGTCACTGGCCACATTCCCTTTGCAAGCGGGGCAAATGTAAACATACGCTTTCTCCTTCACGACGCCGTCCCTCACAGAAAACTGGTTCCCACAGACCGTTCGATGGTCTATTTGCCCTGTCTTGACCTCACTGGCCACATTCCCTTTGCAAGCGGGGCAAATGTAAACATACGCTTTTTCCTGCACAACGCCGTCCTTTACAGAAAACTGGTTCCCACAGACCGTTCGATGGTCGATTTTCCCTGTCTTGACGTCA